CGCGCGCGGCCGGAGGGGAGGGCGGCCGGCGGTGGCGGGGGGGAGGAGGAATCCTAGACGCCGCTAGCCCATAGAAAACTAATTAGGAGAGGGTGAACAGTCACTGTCTACAGGGCAGGCAGGCTACACACATCCCTCAAGTATACTCGGCATCTACTTCAACGTCGGCGCAGAGCTTGGCAGGTACGTAGTTGAGAAGCGGATGCAGATTGTGGTCTGCATCAACGACATCCTTTAGACGGAACATGTGCTGGACTCGTGGTTCATGGATGGCATGTATGGTTTCTTTCTCTGACCTCTTAGTCATGTGTGGGGTGCCAGATCTGGAGTTCGATGACGTGTCCGGAGTGTTTCCCCGGTCTGATTCGTTCAATGATAATGGTTTCGTCTTTGGCGAGCCACCTTGGAGCCGCGTCGAGCTCGGGTGAGAAGGTGATCCGTCATTTTTTTTTCTTTTGGTGGCTGCTACGATGGTGCCGGAGGTAGGTGATGGGCGTTGGTGTCAAGCTTAGAGACATTCTGCTATCTTTTCATTTTTATCATGTCGGTCTTTATGTGACTTGTACTTTAATCTTTATGATATGAATGAGATACATATTAACATACAAAAAATAAATACTCGGCCATATGAATGCAGACACACTCTATCTCTATTCAATAATGTTAAACATTGACTATCTGAATAATGCTAGACCTATGTAAGATTGATGCTAGCGACCAGGAAGCAGGAACCCTAGCCGCCACTGCCAAGAGAGCCAACCCTTCCGGCACCGTTTTCCGGTGGCTCTCCTCCGCCGGCGACCGCTTCGACGTCGGTGGTGCAGGGGGTCACGCGGATCCCACGCATGTGGATCATTTTGACTTTAGGTTTGATGTCTTGGCTTAGGCGGCGGTCACAACGATGTTGAATAAAGAAGATCTGGATTCTTCTACGGCGAGGCGATCGTCTCTATGGTCCGTTCAAGCGGGGATGTCGTGGTGGCGACGGCATCTTTGTGGTAGACATGTGTCCTCGGGCTCCGCCGTTGCAATGGCGTCTGCTCCAACGATGGCGTGGAACTTGGGAGGTAGTCCAGAAGCATATGCAAATTGTGATATGCATCGACGACATCTAGAAGATGGAATATGTGCTAGATTCATTGTTGATGGATGGTAGGTACGGTTTTCTTTTTCGACGCCTTAGTTATGATGGGGTGCCAGATCAAAAATTTGATGGTGTGTCGAGATGTTGTTCCTGTCTGATTCGTTCATCGGCAAATGGTTTCATTTAAAAAATGAAACCAATCCAAGGACTAATTCTTGTTGGCTTTTATTTATAGAAGAAATTCCGTGAGCACTGCGTGTTAGAGTCAAGACTTGAACCAGGATGGACTGACACTTACCCCAGCTGTCCAGCCAACGGGTCGACGCACCATTCTCGCATTAGCTTCATTTTTTATTAGCCACCTTATAAGGTAAAGATAAAAGGTGTCCGGAAGCTCGAGGTCAAAAAATCCACGTACACAACATTATTCCCCGGAAAGTACCTCACATGAAATTTAGTGATTGAGAAATGGTAGTAAAAAGGAAACAGTTTTTTAACTGAGAAGTGTCGGGTATGCCTTCAAGAGTAGTTCTTGTCGAAGACTAATTCTCCAGGGATGAGGATTAAACAATCGATCTTATAAACGCGAGTATACATACAACATAAATAATGAGTCCAACGACGCGAGGATCCTGTCTTAGAGCACCTACAGCTGGATTGTACAAATTTTGACTTTTCAAATGTTCACAATTCGTTCAATGATAAGGGCTTCACTTTTGATGAGTCATTTTAGAGGTCCACAAAGTTGTATATTAGCGACGGAGCCACTTCGAGCTCGGGTGAGGAGGTGATTCGTCATTCTTTTTTTCGGTGGCTGCTGTGGTGATGCTGGAGGCAAGTGACCGGCGTTGGTGTCAAACTCAGAAATGTTCTGCTATCTTTTTAGTTTTGTCATGTCGGTCTTTACGTGACTTGTATTTTAATCTTTATGATATGAATAAGACACGTATTAGCATGGAAAAAAATATTGATAAACCGAGCTTGTTATTTTGACCCATCTCATTTATCCACACCCCTCATAATCCTTCTCCTCATTTGCCAGACATTTCAACAAACATCATATGTGCGTCGTGAATGGCGACTCCTCGCTACCTTGCGTAGCGCACCAGCAGCAGCGAAGTTGGATCGAATCCTTCAATTGATTATGAGCAATGGCATGCAAGAACCTGCAGCATAGACACAATCATCAGACTAGCCACAATAGAGAGTAACATACACTAGTAACATATATATATCTCTAGGCTATGTTACTATCTTTATAGTGGGTAATAACTTATGTGTGGTGTCATGCAAAGCTTCATTTATTAGATTATAGACTCATATTGCATTGGGAGATGTGATGTTACAGTAACTAGCTAAGTTACTAGAACTACTTCTCTTTTCATTAACTCATTACTACATAAACAAATTTATTGAGTTGGACTCGAAGTCACTGCTCAAATTACTCTCACTATAACTAGTGTCAAGCGCACTAGCTAGCTAGCTTATCAACGAAGCTAGCAAGCAAGCAAGCCACCCGTCGCTGAACGCACCACGGGCACCAGCGGCCTTGGCCAACACACGCCGGCAGCGCTCGGCCAAGCACACGCGCGGCGACCCGGTTCAGGTCAGCACGCACGCATGCATGCGGTGGCGGCGACTATGCACGGCCGTCACGCCACACCGGCCAGCTCGCTGCGTGCACCACGCACGGCGGCTCCCCGCACGGCTAGCACGCCACACAAGGCCAGCACACGAAGAAGGACTGAGTCGCTGCATGTGGGGCCGAGTGAAGTGCCCGGACGTGACCATGCAGCCTCATATTGGCCCCAGATTTGAGCTACGCCAGTCAGTCCGGACATTTAAAAAAGAAGTAAAGGGTTCGGTTGGATCAATCTTTTTTAATCAGGCGGGCGCTTTAGGCGTTTGATGATAAATATAGGGGTTCGGCCGCAGATGCTCTTGGTCACCGGTGACAAGAACACAATAAATACACCCAGCTTTAGACCCTCAGATGGGTAAAAGTCCTACTTCCTCCTATGATTAT